GGGCGAGCATGTTTGGTGGAAGGGGTATTCGAACCTGCGACCCTCAGATTGCGAGTCGAACGCCCTAACCACCGGGCCATGCCGGGCCTCCTAGAAATGTAATATATATTTTAGAATGTGTAAATTATGGTGACTATATTGGCGAAACAGATAATTTAAGATTAAAGATGAGTTAATAAGAATTTCATGTTAAACTTGCTCGAAAAAAAAAGCCAAATGTATGCCAGCAAACAATGAATGTATTTTAAGCAAACTTAAAATTCTGAAAGAACCTTATTTTCATGTGTTCTCTTTTTTGAGCATGTAATATGAAATATAAAAAATTAAGTTTCGAAAAATAGTAGAAGAATTTTTTTGCCGCCACTTTAAATAGATAGAGGTAAGAGGGCAGAAGTAACAGTATTTTGTTTGGTAAGGTTAGTTAGAATCGTGCAACTGTACAAACTATTACTAGAAATCACTGAAAGGACAATAAAGTAATTAAGAGATAGACTTTGTATTAAATTGTTAAATAATATGGAAGTAAACTACTTTTCTATAATGACAAAAGAAAGTATAAAGCTTTAATTAAAAGAAAAAATATAATAAAAAGAGAAAGTATATTTGATACGCTTAAACTAATTTCTTTTGTGTATACTTTAATGTATTTATTTCTCTGAAAGGGGTCCAAAGGCCGCCTAGAGGGGTCACCTGTTTTAACCATTCTCACCATTTTACAGTAGTGTGTTGTGAGTCAGTCAGTAGACGCTAAAATTACGTCACATAAGAGATGTTTAACGTTGTAATTTATACTGTCGTGATGTCAGTAAAAACGCATGCCATAAATCACGAGAATAATTATGCACTCTGTAGGCTACAACAGAGCATGACATATGAACTTCAAAAGCAAGAAATAAATATATATGTTACTCTTAATTCTGGTTTTATTTACTCTTGAAACAGAATACTTTCGGGGACCCTGCGGAAGTACATCTAATATAAGGACTGTATTTTGTGTTTGTACATTTTGAAAATATGTATTTATTTGTTTAGTTGAAAATATTTATTTCAACGTTTTTATTATATATTATCTTTAAAATTACAGCCTGAAGAGCGACCTCTGAAGTCACCTAACTGGTAGAAAATAATAAAGAACAAAAGAGGTCAAGGATTTCAACGTATTGTTATATATATCTATATTGTAATGCAATTATTGTTATAAAAACTAAAAACGTATACTTGTTCAGACAGAAGGTTAACTTAAAGCTCATTTGATAGTTATTTATAGACCTGACAAAATAATACAAATACATGCTATGATTCTACACATTTATGCTGCCGAGGATGCTTAAACTACGCAAACACACAAACAAATAAAATAAAATTATCAACTTTTATAATCTACAAAAATATGTCGAAAGTGTTCGATATAACGCAGGTAAGATCGATGCTGAATTGAATGTTATTGTGTGCAAGTTGTTATAGGTTAAAAGCTACTGAAATGTCATAGACGTTATTTGAAATGGTTCACACTTACGCTTACATATTCTTACTATTTGTAAAGGTTGCAAAGTATACATAAAAGGCTACTTGAAGCTCCCAGAGATAAAAATATAACACAAACCTGTGGCCCCAGCACCAACAAGCAGGACTACAGTAAACGTTAACGCCGCCAACATCTTATTCTTAATATCCGTTACCTCACTACGTTACACTTTCGTTTTTGTCGACAATTCCAAATGCAAAGCTCCATATTGTTTCCCAGTTTCTAATATATTTGTTTTGAAATACGGGTAGAAAAACACACAAATCAAACAATTTTCTTAACTAATCAATCATCATGCGTTGAGATAGTGACAAAAACACCTGTTACGCTCAGTATAAGGTATCTTCTCATGCAGATAAATAACCTGCCAGATTTGCCACGAACCCACCGAAGAAACAGGTTGGTTCTTGTATTTACCTGATTTACTTCAGTTGCCCACCTACGTCAGATTGCTGCGAGCACTCTTTCTTGATTGGTTGAATATACTACCTCTGTATAGAAACTTTGGTAATATTGGTTAGGTAAAAAAAGTTTTTTTTTTTTTAAAGAAAGTAAAAATTGAGTAATTGATCTGCGGTCGGAGTATTATTGACGTTCGTTGCTATAGCGTTTGTTTGGCGCGATTGTTG